AAAACTTTAGATTAACTTCAAATGAAACTCAAGTGTTAGTTTAAAATTTCCTCCATTAAAAGTTGAAAAGTAACCGAAACTTTTGGCTTTTTGCTGGTTATATTTCAGTGATAGTCATTAGTTTTTTTCTCCAAAACCAAAAAAAAAATCCATTAATTATGGTGTTTGATGGAAGTTTTTTTTTATCACAACTAAACTAAGCCTTCAGCTTTCTCTTCGGAAATCCATGCAGCTATTTCTTCACAAGCGTAACGCCAGGAAATAAATCATGGACTAATTTCCGTTTCTTAAGCTTTTATTTTCCAAAAATAAAGAGCTATTTCGTTTAAAAAATGATGGCACGATCGTTATTAATAAAAACTTCGCTTCGATGAAAATGTACCCTCTCCCCGTTTATTGACTTAATATAATAAAGTATATAAAGAGTTTTTGGTGTTCCTTAAAGCATCAGCGAAAGTTAGTAACGAATAAATTAATTTTTCTTTCGTGAAAAATCCTTGTTTATACGAAAAAAAGAGCACTTTCTGTCGATATGTTTTTTTTTTAGTTGCGACGAGGAAGAAGGGAATTAAATATTGTAAAAAAGTCAACCGATATTGCTAAATTCAGGAAAAGTATAAGAATAAAATGTAATTGAGTTTATTTTATTGTCTTACCTTTATTTTATTTATTTAAAATTCTTACATCTTACTCAATTGTATTGTTTTAGTCAACACTTGAGAATTTTTTTTAAAAAAAATATTAGACAGAAATAACCTTTCTTAGTTGAAATATATAATTCATTCAAACTTCTGAATTTTATTATTTTGATTCATATTTCTTTGACTCATGTATTACCTGTTTTCTTAACTAAAAATATAAGTTTTATTTCTGGGAGATTGAATATAAGGATCAATTGATATAAGAGATCTTTAAACAATATTTAAAAATGTATGAATTGTGACTGTTATTCGTTTGTATTATATACTATCAAAAATGCATTTTAGAAAAAATTATTTAATTTTAAGTTAAAAAAGAAAATTTTGATTTCAAATTTATACTTTAATAAAACTAAGATATGTCAGTTAAAAACTAACAATCTAACCAAATTATCTCAAATGATAAATAACTTAAATGGCATTTATATTAAGCTGGATTTTTTTAACTGAATCTAATTTATAAAAATTTGCAAAAAATAAGCTGTTTTAAACTGCTGTTGAAATAAATATTTATCTTAAATTTATTTAACTCAGAACATTTTAGAAAAAATTATTTATTAAAGTGTGTATTGTTCTCTCTCTTGTTATTTTACTCTCCCGAAAATTTATTTTCAAAAGTTGTTATCTCTTTTGACTACTGAATGAAAATTATCGTTTTTGTTAATGTTGTTGAAAAGGAAATTAATGACTTTTTAAAAACTTCTTACACCCATCAAAAAGCGTGCCGGATTTATTTTACTGAAATAACGAGAAAAAATAAAGCTGAAATATTTCTAAATATGATGTGAATTTTAGCTTATCATTCTTTTTCCTTTTAAATATCCATAGGAAATTGAATTCAGGTCTTTTATCTCTCTCTCTCTATAGTGTATCAATACCATAACAAATTTTTAAATTTTTTTTAATTAAGACTTGATGTTTTTTGTGACTCATGAAATCTTACATTTTTATAAAGGACATATTTAATTATTAAAGCAAGATACATGTTATTGAATTTAGTGTGAAATTCTTTTAGGTAAGAGAATTAGGCTTTTTAGGCTGCATTTTAAAATTGGACCTTTCAAAATAATTGAATCTTTTAAAAATAGATTGTAACTTTCTGCGTTTTTCGACACTGGAAGATTGAATGTTTTGACTCTTTTATTAAATTTTCTACACCGATTTCGAATTGTTTCTCTTCGCTATCCATTCTCGGATTCAAACTTATTGAGTAATTTTTATCTACCTAGAGTTATCTTTCTTTTTTGAGCTGTACTAACCTAAGTTGCTTCAGATCTACTATATTAACATTTTATAGAGCTACTTACTATTGAGTAAGAATTTCACAAATTCAAAATCAGTTTTATAGACATAAGTTCGTTCAGTTTTTATTATTTCAAATTAAAGAATCAGAATCCCTGCATTACCACTTAAATATTCAACGGTAGGGATTAAATCTTCTTTTCTCGAGTTCCTAGTATTTTAAAAAGAAATTCGAAATATCCTTTGTTTCAATAGACCTCCGTAACTTTTCTAAACACAGAGTAATATTTCAACACAGTCGGTCCATGGCGTCTTTCCAAGTCTGGAAAACTAAATTCCTTAGAACGTTGTTCTTTCTACAGATAGAAATTTATTTACAAAAGTAAGGGGTTTCAGAATGAAGTCAGTCTATAAAAGTTAATAATTTTTTTTTCAAGCTGGTAGCGAAATAAAAATAAGCATTAACTTGCCATGTGAAAGTATTTCTCAGTTTGTTTTGCGTGAAATTTTATAAATCTTGGTCGAAACCCCAAGTTTTATAAAATGAGGTAGAATATTAATGTCACAAGGATTAAAAAATGTTTAAAAACAAAATTGTTTTGTTTTTTTACACAAAGTTTAAATGTTTACAGTAATTATATTCGCCAAGCTATAATAGGGTAACATTGTACTAGAAATGTCTTTATATACTCCTGCCCCGACAGCTTTAACAGTTAAAAGAATTTTTGGCCATATTAAAAAAATTCTATTATAAATTAAGATTCACTTCATAAAATAGATTATAGTGATACTATTAGCAACTCATCCTGTATTAATAATTTATTTGAGTAAAGCGTTCTAATAAAAAATATACAGGGAATTAATGAAATTTTTTTTAAAACCTTTTTTTCCACCCCAATTCCAAGTTATAAATATTTTAAGTAGAAGAAATGCTCCTTTTTCGATACAGTAAATCGTGTTGTATCTCTTCATTTTTAATAGCTCTGTTATTCTAATTTAGTATTTTATGATCAAGCAAAAACGCTTTCAATAAAATATAGAAACATTAACCGTTTTTTTTTTTAAATTGGGGGAACCGGACGATTTCGACATTTTTTTTAGAATGGTCTTAAAAAAAAATGTTTATCACAACTTTTCTTCCGACTAATCGTGATTAAATTATTCATATTACGTATCTTTAAATATAACTATGGACACATATATTCACAAAATAATTTCATTTGCATAAAAATAGTCTAATTTTCTTTTATATAAATGAATAAAATCTTTTTCAGTTATATAATTATTATTCACTGATGTGAATTTCTTACTACATATTAAAACATATGTATATGTAAAAATCTCTTCCAGAAAATCATACAACAAATTTATATGAATTTCTGAAAGACACAATACCTTATTTGTATAAAATGATATACTTTACAAGAAAAATACAACATGGTTAGTATTCATATTTTTTTTTCTTATAAGTTAAAAAAATGAAAAACTATATAAATGCTGAAATCTTCAAGTTTCTTCTGCTTAATTTTTATTTATATTGTAAATATTCATTCTAGATACATGAAAATCAAACTTTTGCTTTTATAAATTTAGCAGTATTTATATTAAGATATTTCAAAAATCATTAAATGTAAAATTCTTACAGGGTTATAAAATAAATTTAGTACCTCAAACAAAAATGTTTTGTTACAATATATTTTATTCATATGTACTACTTTAAAGAAAATTAACTAAACTCCAGCAGCAAATAAAATATTATGTTAACTTCTTTTAAAAATTCATAAGACTATGAAAATGTTATGAGAAATATTTGTAGCACTATTTTATAACGTTAACATTGTTTATAACTGTATGTATATGTCCTTTAATTATTAAAATTATACTTGTCCAGTTTAAAGCTATTTTGTTCTTGTTGGAATCTTATAATCTATCTCATAATTCATGTTGATATTTGCGAATAGCAATACTCTGAAAGAATGAACTTTTCAAAACCATGGTAAATAATTTAAATGAGGTTTTTTACACTTGCGATAATAAATCTAGTTATAGCAATTCTGTTATCGTTGATCACTTAATTTACATCCTAAATAAAAGTTGAATATGCTTAGCGTAGATTCATTAATATAACTGAATTTAGTTCGTGCGTAAAAAAATGCGATGATAAGGAACATGGGAGACATTTTCTTTCCGAATAAATCAACATTTATTAAATGCTTTCCGTCGTTTAAAGCGAATATTACACAGCGTCTGCCCCAAATATTATCAACAAGAAAGCGTGAATGCTCTATTGAGTATCCATTCATGTGTGAAATCCATTGATGTTCATCAAAGCGAAAATTGAAGCTAATTATATTTCATTTGTGTAGAAGCAAAGCTGAAATAGTTGCTCACACTTTCATTAGAAAAAAATATAGTTTTGAGCCCTCGGTGATGTAACGAAGTGGAAACTAGAATCTTTTCCTAATTAATGTGTGTTCAATTTTTTTTACATATGTATCTGCACGGCATTCTTTAAAGAAAAGTGCACAGTGTTTTAATATTGAGGAAAACTAAGACAAAAGATCAGAAATGATATTTTAAAATCAACCTGGGTTACATAGTATAAAATATTTTTTACCGTGGATTGTGACGAAAAATTATTTTATATGTTCTTAGGAAATGTGTTGTTGTTGCTCATGCCACCTGTTGACATCGTCAGATCGAGGCCCACGAAATTCATCGTGGCAATGTGCTAGAAGTACGTCTGTCGTTAGGCCTTAGCCTTGATCACCATACAGGTGACAGTACGATTTAGCTCGGAGATATTCCAGAAGGAACGATAGATGGCGACACCACCTATCTCCACCTCCACAATTTAGGAATGGAACTGAATTGGAGGGAAATTTTATCCAGTTCCCTGCACTCGTGATTCAGCCCACAAGACTTTCGGACCCACTGATTTAACGAGCACGTACACCGTGTATACTCGGACGGTATTTGGCGGTACGGGCATCGAACCCAGGGCTTCCGGTCCGGTGCTCTAACCACTAGGCTAACCACGGCCCTAAAAATATCCCTCTCTGGAGGCACCGGGTATAGATCCCGATACCTTTCGCATGCTAAGCGAGCGCTCTACCATCTGAGGTACGCCCCCGATGAATGAATGTAATACAACTTGATACATTTGACAGAATTTGTTTTGTAATTCATGAAATTATTTTTTCTTAGAAAGGGGGTGTAATTTACTCAAAAGATGTAGGTGATTTTATTTTTCTTAATAAGAATTCAAAGAGTAAACAGTAAAATTCATCTGTTACGTTTTTTCTTGCTAACGGAATAGTTAAATGAAATGTAGATTGATTGAATGAACTAAATTTTCTTTATTTCATGTATTAATAATTTCTAAAAAAAATATTTCGAAAATTTCAACAATGTTTGAGGTTTGAAACTGCATTTTTGCTTTCTTTAAATATACTGTGGTTACATGTTAAAGATGTTACAGGATTTATAACTTTTAACCATAAATAATTTATTTTTCTGTGCAATATGCTTTTCGAGGTACTTTTTCAAAGCATATTCAAGGATCTTCAAATTTAATTATATGCTTGTAGATACGTGCATTGCAGTCCTTGAATGAATCTTGTTCCTCAACACTTCCTTGCTTAATTAGTCACCAATTTTAATATAATTTCTGTATTAAGTTTGATAAAAATAGTTAATTTTTAAAATCATTTTTTAAAAAAAATTAAATAATAAACTTCTAATGGATGATAAAATTACAAAAAAAGAGAGATACTACTTATATATAATTCTAATAAATTTTAAATAAATAAATAAATAAAATAACATTGAAACAAATATCAATGGAATAAGAAAAAACTCGAAATGAGTTTGTGAAACCTCTTTTGTATTTCAGTATAATAAATTCAGTATGGACGATGATAAACTAAATTAAAAGCTATCGCGTGTTATCGTAGAAGAAAAACAGTTGCGCATCCTTCCAAAATACCTTTGCAAACTTTGAAAAAAGTGATAACGCGCGAATTCTCTCATTATCTGTTCAAAACTGAAATTTATCATTTCATAACTTTCGTTTATCTGTTATGAAACCACGCGTCATCTATTGATTCATCTATCTGTATTGAAACGATGTTCAAACCACGGAAATGGAAAAAAGGAAGGAAAGAATTACGAAAGTAATGCAAAAGAAGATTTCTGCCAAAATAAAGATAAAACACTATTTATGTCTGCAAAATTTGTGAAAGATCACCTGATTATGGCTTAGATCACCCAAAAATTATACACGCATAGCATTTTGAAATACATAATTTGCATTAATTTCATATTAACTAACTAGTAATTCGTTAATATGCTGTATATATATGTGTGCGTGGTTGTGTGGTGTTATTGTAAATAACCGAAATCTATTTTTAAGTGTTCTTTATAGTAAAAAGGTGAAGTACCTAAGAGCATCCTTAATTACGCATTTGTATTAATGAAAGCGGGTTCTCACCACGGCGTGAGGAAATAGACGAATTAAATTTCCATTTTCACAGATATTTTATATAATTTTTTCGTAGAGTCCATGTAATACACGTGTAGCAGTAAGTATATATATATATTTATACATACATATATATATGCGTATCTCTCTCTATATATAGAGAGAGAGAGAGAAAGAGAGATAGATAGATCGCAGAGTGACACCGTAAACAAACGTTTAGACAGTCTGACAGAAGATGGACTGATAGTCAAACAGACTGTGACACAGACAGACCGATAACACACTTTCTTTTCGGTGAAACGCTCCAGAGGGTAATGTGACATATTGGAAAAAATTACACCTTTATTTTGCTAGCACTCCGGTTGAAATATTTTACAAGGAAAGGATTTTATAACACTCAGCTATCAGTATGATACACATAATTATCTTATCTATGTATCCTATCATATTTGTCATGAAACTAAGTTGGCTTCAAGGAACAATCTATTTTGACGTCATAGCATTAACTGTTAACATAACCTCAATTGACTGTCATTTTATTAAACTATTTATAATCTGAACATCAGCATTAATTTCAACTATCCATTCTTGAAAAGAAACTGATACAAAATTATAATTTAAATTTACTTATTACATGTTCGTTTTTGCAGAAGAGATTAATAATCCTTTTTTTAAAAAAAAATTTTCGAAGGAATTAATTTTATGTTAAATAACATTGAAAGACTTTTAATTAATTTTAATAAAAGTATAACGTGGAAATTTCTTAATTTTCAGACAAACCCAACATATATTTTTAACACCGACATAGAGATTTGAAGTAGATTTGTACGTGAATAATAAAAAAAAATATTTATTTACAAAATTATGATCGGAAAATTCAAAGAAATTAGTATATGCGTATAATAAATGTAATGTTATTTAATTTAAACTTGAAAATTTTGACTAGAGCAAATAACTCATTCGAACATTTAGCCTTTATTTGTAGCTGGAAGTTATTTATATTGTTTTAATTTATAATTTTTTTGCGGAACTAAAGTAATTCAGCTCATTTTATTTCGAATTCGTTCCATTTCAGTTAAAGGTGATTTGAAAGAATATGATATTGTACACTGCGTATGAAACAAACACACACAAACTCGCGTGCCTGCACACATTACTAGAAATGTTTACAAATTAAACAATATTTGTAGAGTGTCCCATTTTCTACATTGTTCTGTTTTGATTTCTTTTTAGGCATTCACACATTCTTACGCAACATTTCCTTTTGTTTCTCTTCTTAAATTTTATGTTTCTTTTTAAAATTTTGTAACACAAATTGGTTTAATTCGCGTGCAATTTGAATTGTCAGTTATCAAGACTCACCTGTCAGATGCCTGACATCTTACATTGAAATGAATCAAGGAGTTAGATGCTTTTTTTGGTTTTTTTTAATGTATTATAAAATAACACACAAAATACCATTTAAAAATTAGAAACCTTAAATCGTCCTCCGAGGACTCTTGCATCATGTTTCTTTCCTTTCTTCTTCTTAAGTGATATTTTAGTTTTGATATCAGTTTCACTTCTTGTTTCAGTTTTTTTTTTTTTGGAAGTTGCCATCGAAGCAGAGTAATTTTTTACTAGAGATACCTTACACTGAAAACAGAGGTTCGAAAGGGTTCAGATCTCTACTCACCCAACATCTATTCACATTTTCTCGTTGAATATTTTTTCGTAAAACGAAACTTTAGTATAAATAATTGAACTTTCTCTTATGTACATAAGTTTGTTTGATCACGTACATTATTTTTTGTATGTCTTTTTTTCATTATAAGTCGAAATAAAGACTCAAACATAAAATTCCTGAATTAATAAGGTAAAAATTGTTCAAACGCCTTAGTTAAACTATTTTTTTATTTAAAGTATTTTAACAATTTGAAAACAACAACAAAAAAACAAAAAAAAAAAAAAAAAAAAAAAACGTTATATTTTGTTCGTTGTTAAATAATGCTTACATGATAAATAAATGTGGTTTAATTCTGAGATATAATTTCCTGCTTTGTGAAATATTTTTTGGTACTAATGATCAAATTTAACCTTCGAATTCATTAAAGAGATTATGACTGGAGTGTTTAGTATAAATTTAATTATAAGAAATTCAATTAAATTACCTTTAAATGTAATTAATATCTTTAAATGTATTTTGCTGAAGATCTGAATTTGTTATTTTTGTTCATTGACTTAATAAAATGAAAATATTTCTATTTAAGAATTATTATTTTTTTTTTTTACAATACATTGGCAGTTTTCTTAAACTTTCAATTTCAATATGTTATTTGGAATATGTTATTGTGGTTTACTTTAATATAACATGAGTACATCCCTGAAATTTGCGTAAATTATTGGATGTATACTCAATACCTGCTGGGAAAGTCTTATAAAAATATTTGTTCTCCTTTTCAGAAACTATTCTAGCTTATCTTTTAAACACGCTAAAATAAATAAGTTTGTAAGATTATGGCCAATTGCTTTTATATTTTTCAGAACATGCGAGAGGAACTATTTATATTTACTATGTTTCAGTGGATGTTTTTCAACTATATTTCATCTTGTACATGAATCAGCCGTAGCAGCCACAAGTTTCAAAACCTTCACATTTATTAAGTTATTGGATAATAGTTACACATTTTCATACAGTGATGATGACAGTAAATTCAAAACATTTGAAAAATAACTTATGTTTACTTTATGCTTTTTACTTTATTTATACAGCTTTAGATAGAAAAATAAATGCCATTTTTGAAGTTCAATATATGGATGAGAAAATTTAGTAGTTTATACATATTTTTGAACTGACATATTATTTCCGAAGCTATCTTTTTTTTTCTTAATATGAGGAAATTTCTTTTGGAAAAAGGAATTTTCAAAGGATTTTGAAATAAAATAAAAACATGGAGGCTAGGGATAGGAAGAGGAAATGCATTTTTTTCAATATAAGTACTTATACAGTTTTCTTCAGGCATTTATAATAAAAATTTTGTTTATATCTTATAGAATAGCGTTTCTTAAAGTGTGCGGTGTGGCCCCTTAGGGCGGGGATGAAAAATCTAAGTGGGAGACGCAATGATATCGATAAGTCGGAAATGAAAGAAAATATAATTTACTGAAATGAAACAAAACGGAATAAATCCTGACGTTATAAAAATCAAAATACACATTTAAATTGATATAATGTACTTATAAATGTATCAGTACTATACAACAACATTTCTCAAACTGTAGGGGTGCGCCACCCTTGGAGGGGCGTGATAAATCTACAAGAAGTGCTCGAGTAAATCGAAAAGTCGAAAAAAAATTATTAATTTGCTGAAGGGTAGCAAAACAAAATACATTCTCATACAATAAAAAATAAAATAAACATTTGCACTTATATAATTCACTTATAAATGTATCAGTAACGTACAAGGTATTTCCTAATTAATTTAGCACTACAAAGTTATGAACAAGTTTAATAGTTACCAGTGACCCTATGAGCATGTCATAAAATTATATAAAGAATTTAATACTAATCTTGATAATTTGTGTGGTATATAATAATTCGTGTGTAGCTTTATATTAAAGTATAAGTGAGTGAGTGAACATTACAGCTACACAAAGGCTTTTTGGTGACG